GCTGGAATATTGCTAAAAGCGGCGTAAAACTACACTCACTCACCCACTCACTCGTTTCGTGACGAGCTTACAATAAAGATGCACCTGCTGTCATCCCTGATTCGTGATTGTTGTGTGTTTGCCGTGATTGTTGTGTGATTGCCGTGATTGTTGTGTGATTGCCGTGATTATTGCCGTGATTGTTGTGTGATTGCCGTGATTGTGACATATAATATAATAATAGGAACACAGGGGCTTGTAACACAAAACACTAGCATCAATGTATATATTTTACATAGAGCTAACGGGGCGGTGGGGTAGCCTAGTGGTTAAAGCGTACTCTCGTCACGCCGAAGGCCCGGGTTCGATTCCCCACATGGGTATAATGTGTGAAGCCCATTCCTGGTGTCCCAGCCGTGATATTGCTAAAAGCCACGTAAAACTAAACTCAGTCAGTCAGTCTGGTGTCCCAGCAGTGATATTGCTGGGATATTGCTAAAAGCGGCGTTAAACCCAACTCACTCACTCACATAGAGCTAAAACCCCGGCAGTGACAGCATATGCCCTAATGTTTTGAGTTACTAGTCTCTGAGCCAATGTCAATGAGAACACATCTTATCACACGACGTTCTAGTTGTCGGCACAGGGAGCGATCCCGGAATCACGTCAGGTGGACGCTTAATACAAATCACGGTAAACATCAGGCAACTGCTCGGTTAATCTTAATGCCATTATGTGTTGCCTCGTTAGATTTCCCTGTCTCACAGCACTAAACTGTGTGGAATGATTACATCACATTAACAGATTGGGTCAATCAGCTTTAATTACACCGACGATCACATGGAACCTTTCATAATACAAAAAACACAACGTCATTGTAGCGGTATTTACAAGCTTGATGTCGCCTCTTGTTCACCATATCAGGGTTTACTTTTCTTAGTGACGTCATCTGATTATGACTTCCTTTCAAATTCGGTGATCCGGAGTCACTAGTTGACGTCATGTACAGAAGAGGGACCAAGTACTGCCCTCTTCGGGTTACCCAGGCTGTACTGTGGACCTACCCACAGAATAACTGTATTATGTACAGTTGAGAAATCGACCCAAATATCAAGGGTTGTTTATCAGATTCGGGTAGTGGTTTTGGCAAGAAAACAGGTTTGAGGTGAAGGTCACCTCGTAGCGACCCGACCGCTTGCTGAGCTTTGTTTCCAAACACTGAATCATTGCATCATCAAGAGGGCGCAGAATGTAGCTCAGAATATAAATAGTTACAGGAGAGGCTTACATGTAGGCGTCCTTAGGAAATCCTTATTTCGACCTGTCTGCATTGGTTTATCCATTGCCTGTTAACGCTACAGGACCTATAGCGATGAATGACGGGGTGCGAGTACAAGCCCACATAGACTAACGCTTAGTCTCTGAATATATATAATTTTGATAGTAACAAACAAACCCATTTAAATTGAAAAGGAGCTCCAGGGAGACCAGAGATTCAGAACCTGAGGAAATCTAGACTTGCTTCATTTAGGGCTTTAGCATTGCAGGGAGGGCAAGGCAGTAGGGGGAATAATGTGGTTCAGGGACTGTGAGACAGACTAAAGCCCACATTGTGGACTCAGGCTGGAGTTGCCGACAACAATATTTTTATACAACATTGTGTAATTGTTCTGGTACACTGTCAACATGGCTCCTCGGCTGTTCACAGGAGATTACCGTGTGGCTACACGCAGGTTCTTTATATCACAGAACAAGCTGGACTATTCTCGACATTCAACAGAATGGGGGGTTCCGTGCGATGCGTTTGTATACACACGTATAGTGCTTGAAGCGTCGTTAAGCCTTGCTGAAAAGACGGGCGTGTGAATTTCATGTTGTTTTCCCTCGCTGTACATACCGCGTGGTACACTGCACACCTAATGATGCCGAAGTGTGGAGAGAAGAGTGGACATTGCTGCTATCAATATTCTCACGATATCTCCAAGAGATCAGCAGAAAAGAAGCTGATTGTCCAAATATCCTAAATGGCGCATGTTTCAAACAGATATGAGGCATGAGTGTCTCGGTTGTGTAAGACGTTAAATTCGCTGGGCGGAGTTGTGTCCCTTTGGCTCGCACTGAAGATAGTAATTGTTGGCTCGAATCCAAGATTTGCATTGATTACGTTTCTTGACTCGCCATCCACCATATCCGTGCTCGTGGGTTTCTCCAGCGTGATAAGTGTCTAACACCTGCATCACTTCTGACTTCCATATCAACCTGACATACAGTGAACTAACTTTGATACTTCCTAATTCGCGGTAAACTCGTTCGCGGTAAACTGGGACAATGGAAGGCGTTACCTAATACCAAAATACTTAAGAGGTGTATAGATAACTCAGCTAGTGGCAACTTCGGTTAACTTACCCAACGCCGGGTAATCTGGATTGTATTTTTAGACCCATGTTTTTTCATATAGTGTTTCTTTTAGATAGTCCCCATGTGTAAGTGAAGTAAAACCTCGAGTTCTGCAGACCGACGTAAAAACACTTGGCTATCAGCCAAGGTATTGGCGGGCATTCCTTCTTGACAGAATTTGAATCCTTCAGTTGGTTTGGAACCAGCTGTCTTGTTCTGCGGGGGTACGCGGTATAACTGGGTGAACACTTCAAGGTTTTGCAGTGTTCCCAGTTTGGGATTCCAGTAAACGTTAATGTTAAATGTGGGGTACGATGATGTACTATGGTGTCCGACTTCAATACAGGTTAAGTAAATACAGACACCTCATACATATAGTCAGTACTAACTGGAGCGAGTGAGTTGGCTTTTACGCCGCTTTTAGCAATATTCCAGCAATATCACGGCGGGGGACAGCAGAAATGGGCTTTGTAAATTAATTGTATCCATGTGGGGAATCGAACTCGGGGTTTTGGCGTGACGAGCGAACGCTTTAACCACTAGGCTACCCCACCACCCCAGTACTAACTGGAGAACATGTATAATCACAGTTGACGAAGAAAGGTTCACCGGTGTCAATTGTCACAGTACTTTCCCAGACTAACGCTGAGTTTCTGGAAAACATACATAGAAACAAAAGTCTCGATTTAAATTGAAAAGGAGTCCCAGTGAAATGGGAAATTCAGAACCTGAACCAGTGGAAACATCTACATTTGATTTACTTACAGCCTGGTTCCAGTCTAATGAACTTAGGCTCAGTATTATTCGTTACACTGCTATACTGAGTAACGAATAATACTGAGGCTAAGTTTACTTAGACTGAGCCTGGTTCCCGGGGTATGCTGCACTGTTGCCTTCACGTATGGACGACACGCCGTATATTTACTGTAGAAAATTCTGAGAACGGGTGGTTAGAATATTTTCTTAACAATTTCATCGATACTATAGCAGAACAACGCCCATCGATACTTTTAAAGAAGAAAGACGTTATATAAACAATTTCAAGACACGAAAGTTGTCTTTACATGCATGGGCAAAATGTAAACAATGACACACACACATTTTCAACATCGAATTGTGAATGAATGTTTCAGATAAGGTCGCAGTTGTCACTAACTTGTACACAATACGTGGAACTGAATGACCACATTAATTAAACAGCGTTAGCATCTTTATTTTAGCCAATTCGATGAGGTATATTTTGGTGAGTTGGACCCCTTTTCTCTAGTTTTTGTATGCTGGGAGTAGACTGGACGCCATAATAGCTAGCAATATATATATATATTACATCATCTGTTATACTGATGGAGTGAAGTACATTGTACGTCTAAAGTGCTGTCAGGTTTTTTGTCACCATCGTATCGGTCATCCAGGATCGTGACGTTTTTAATTTGTCCGGCATAACCTCCCGTCAACATTGTCCGGCTTGTGACATTATTAAAACATATCATTAGATGCCGGAACTAAGCCGCCATTTGAAAACGGGTTGGTAGAACACAATGACAAGGAATAACAAATTAGATGCCATTTACGTATGTAGGTGCTATTATAATAGATACAAACAACTTGTATATGTGATAGATGAGACTCCCAGAAAAAACACCTTGACACCGTACTGTCGTGAGGGACTGAGGTGTGACATGACAGCAGGCGGGCCAAGGCTATCTCCCATGCGTGCCCGTCCGTTAAGTGGAGTACCCAGTAGATCTTGACCTAAAAGCCCAACACTTATCTGAAATCTCCAGACCACTTGATGTATTTTGTCTCAGTCAGGTTAATGGAGATACCACCTTTGTTGTTACCATATCGCCTGTAACGCCTTGAGGACATTGCGATTCATGTTAGTTAACAAAGAACACTGAAAGTATTCAAGGGCGCAGCGAAAGGTAGAACAGGCGTCTTATGGACCGCAGTTGTTAGTGCAGCTAGAGTTGCCTCCCTTAAGCACTTCTGAAAATCACTCGTACATGGTTGGCTGCTTGTTTAACACCGAACTCAGCATTGCCCCAGCTATATGGCGGCAGTTTGTAAATAATCTAGTGATCAAAAGCATGAGCTTCAATCCACCCAATTAGGGTACCAAGTCAGCAAGCCTGACCACCCGATCCTGTTAGTCGCCTCTTACGACAAGCATGGGGTACTGAAGACTAATTCTAACCCGGATCTTCTCGGGCTACACTTACTCACAGAACGGCATGGTGTGGTTGCATTGTCAGTAGTTGGTTCGGACGTATATATCGACGTATATATGGAGTATGCATGTTGTATAATAGAATTATGATAAATTACTGGTAGTACTATTCATTATGAAGAGAAACACTATCATCGATGGCGTAACATATGCTACCCTTTTACATTCACCCTGAAATCCCCGTCTTAAGTGTGTTACAACTTAAACAAAATGCCATGCCGTTGCTTTTGGTGGAGGAGTACCACGCGTGCACGGTGGCAAATACTAAGACAAAAATAGACAACATGGACAAGAATCTTGCCATCTAACATCCTGTTGAATGTGAGGACGACTAGTTTTGAGGTGGCAGATATCAGAACAAACCAGGTCTTTAAAGGCTCATCATCTATTGCAGATATTCTACATCTTGCGGAACTTCCTATGTAGCCTTCTGGACGGATTTGAGGTGATCGTGGACAAGTGGCCGGAGTGGACATGTATTATCCTGAGAGCTGCAGACACTGACCGCGCACCTGCCTACTTCAAACACTACTACATCTGCCACGCGCGGTCAGTCAGTGCCCTCAAGTTCTTCATGCAGAGACCAGGGGTGATCGACTGGACGCGAGAGGCAACATTTACAGGTACCTTCATTATCCTACAGTTGTCATTTAGTACCTATGGTTTCGTTAATTGTTGACCATTTCACTTCACACAGAGAGACGCCTTGATTCAATAAAAATGACCAAGGCCCATTATGGTTTCACAATCCTTAATACCTCTGCCATGATGTTGAAATTTTGATCGAACTAATTGATATGGCTGACGTTTTTTTTCAGGTCGGTTCATAATCTTTCTTAGTCTATTTAGAGAAAGAGGGAAATAGGTTTGTGTTGATAATGATAGGTCATTTTGTGAATTTAAGAGATTTTTGTTACAAACGAAAACTATTTCTCACAAAACTTGCAAAATCTTAAATCTCAATGCACATTTCCATGTCTAGCCATTTCACAATTATTTTGTCCTTATTTCTTGATAAACAGAATCACACATGGGAAAGTAAACTAATGTATATCAACGATGTTTTTATTGTTTTTAGTTAGTACTATTGGTTCGTGACTGCACAAGCCTATGTCAAGTAAAGTTTCCACCCTTGTCATCCCAAGCCCACGTTCCTCATTTCGACCATGGCGCCACCTCTTTTAGACCACGAGTTCTGTGCTTTGTGATAAGAACGCGATATCCAGTCAGATCGCTGTTGTTATTTCGAATGACTTCATAAACACCACTACCATTGCCGACAACCAGTTATCAACTAACGAAAAGTTTAGAGATTTCATCCCAGACAGACAGATAAAATCATATATCAGCACTGTAATGATTCTTATTACTGCCGCATTTCGCTCTTACATAATACAGGCATAGAAACTACACTGTCTCAGGTAACAGTGCACCTTAAGGAACATAAGACACTCAGCAGGGGTCGTCTAAAAGTAGCACTGCATCTCGGCGCTGTGATATGCCGTTAGTTCAAGTTTTAACTCCCTAAATGTATAAAAGTACTTGGATAACTTCATTGTGGAATTTTGAAATAATTTCAGCGCAGATTTAAGAGGGAATGGCTGTGGCCAGAGCAGCAACCAGGTTTTCGGAACCGGGTTGTATTTTGTGTACGGTATCTAATTAGACCATCGATGTGTGCATTAGTGCTGTTCTACACGTGTAAGTTAGTCCAGAAAATAGAATGGGTGAAAGCTTGATATGAGCCCGTGGAAAGTCCTAACTTGGAAGATGGACTAATGCATACATTTCAGTCCAAGCAGGTTTAATAATTTTGTAATACGTTTAGTTTTGTAGTCATAAAAGATGACCTTGTGTGTTTTTCTGTTGCAGGCGTCCCAACTGAAGTTGTGGCGTTCCTGAAGGACTACTGTCGGAAACAAAATGGTCAGCTCAAAAATGTCCAGTCTCGGTTCATGTATGCATGGACCAAGGCCGAGCCGCCACAAAAACCTGAGTAAGTGCAATCATGTTGTCTTTTCCTCTTTTATATTGCAGAGTATTACATTATACATATCGGGGACCAGGCCGCATAATGTACTTTTGTTTGTTTGTGTGTGTTTCTTTAACGCATTACTCCAGCTATATGGCGGCGGTCTGTAAATAATCAAGTCTGGACCAGACAATCCAGTGACTCACACCATGACCATCGATCTACGCAATTGTGATACGATGACACGTGTCAACCAAATCATTAAGGCTGATCACCTGATCCTGGTTGTTTCTTCTTATAGGACGACCAGTTCAAACCCGGATCATCACGGGTATCTATAATGTACTGTTTGGACATGTTACCAATAACAACCTAGTACCAACAGTACACAGACATAAATATTGTGTGGCTTATGTTATGTACCATGAATCTATCTCTGGACTGACTGTCTGGCTGTACATCCGATTACTTCAGTATATTGACAATGTGCCTGATGAATGGACGTGTATAATTGCAGAGTTCCGGAGGGCCTACAGCTTACCACTCTCCAGGACCACCATGTCAATATACTACGTCAAGACTGGAAGGACCTGAAGAGCGATTCAGGCCTGGACACCTACTTCAAGAGCGTTGTCCACAACTTTGACAACAGCGCCCTGATTGATAAGAACGGGAAACTTCTGGCTTACATAGTCATGCAGTTCAACGGCTCCATGGCCATGTTGAGTGGAAATACAGAAAATCAGGGAAAGGGCTATGGGCAGATTGTACTGAGTGACCTTACCAGGAAGCTTCTGGAAAAGAAAGAAATAGCCTATGGGTTCATCCCCACCAAAGATTCGAACATCATCAACATCACACAGACCATGGGCTACACCTGGGTCCCACAGGGAAACATGGCTTGGTTCAGGTTCGAGAAGCTGCCCTCTGTCAAATCAACAACCACAAACGGATCTCGAGTCGTAGAGCATTCCCATTCTCAGGAAGATGGTGTGGGGAACTGCATGTTTATCAATGCTATCCCCCTGGTGGTGCAGGAGATGACTGACCATCAGCCCCCTTGTAAAGTTAGTATATCTTAATCAGTGCTAGGACATTTTACACATTGATGCATTCTGGGAGGAGGTCTTCCTCATCCTGTCTTTCTGTTTATTGAAATTCGTGACGTCAGAATTCAGAGGTCAATGACCATATTGGTGCCAGAAGTCTTTCAGTGCATTTCTGTTATACCATGCCCACTCTTCCTCATGTCGACGTTGTCAAACTGTGGGAAATATGCTTATGCAGTACCATGGGGACGAGTTATTTTTGGAACCACCCAGGATTATGTATATTGATTGTACAGGCACTGATGACAACTCCGGATTTGCTGTAAGTGTTCATCTGTTAAGATGTTTATCAGTAATTACGAGGCGGTGACGAAGCCTAGAGGTGAAGCCGTTTCTCATGCAGACTGCCTTTTGTCCCATATACAATGGGAAGCCTAGTCTGGTATCCCTTTCCCGGATGTAGACATATTAAAGCTCCACCACTCGGTGTAACTCCCAACTGAATCACTTACTGTCTACATGTTATTCGTTAAGTTCGAAACTGGAAATTGACTTGGATACTCTGTTACACGCTGTTTCGATATATCTGGAGTTGAGTATAAGTGTGCCTAGGCCACAGTAAGGTGATCATTTGTTACATCGAATCATCTGATAAGCTTTATCCTGTATAGTGCCTATATCCTTTCTCGGGGAACTTGGCGCTGTGTGATAGCTGACAAGGTAATTACTGGGGTTTGGCTTCCTGGAACGTGGATGATATAAATATATCAACCTCATGGGTTTTACTTTCGTCACACACAACATTCGCCCATAGTTACCTCACCTTCCAATATTTCCAAATAGAACATCACTTTATTGTGGCCTTTTCAAGATGTACATTGGAATAGATTTCTACTTCTCAACATATTTGGTTTTTACTTTTCAATGTTCTATTGGTTAATGTGGTACCTTCTAGACGAACCTTTGGTATATAACTGTGTTGGCAAACTATCATGCATACCTTGGTTTCACTAACAACGTAAATGTAGAAACCTAGTTTTAGCTTTAACTTTGTTAGAATGCATCACGTGTTGGTCAGATTAATATACTTTGTGCTGGATCTGACACTGAGCACTAAAAGAGAACAAATACTGTTTTTAATGTTTTTAACCTTTGACTGATGTTTTGCTGTTTTGTGGGTCCGTTCATAGATTCATTCCCTACCGTATTCAACAGGAAGTATGACTTGGACTTGAACTCAAATACCCAGTCCCGCGCAATCACCTGCAGTAACTCGAATCCGCGTCTTTAAAACAACCTTGCTACATTGCCTACAAGCATCCAAGAAATATTTGCGTGTAAGTATGAGAAAAACGTGTTGATGCGAAGAAGCGAGTTTTTAGATTTTTTCTGTCAAGTAGTTTCGACAGGGAGCCCTTTCTGGTTCACAAACGTATACACGTCATGTTAAAATGTTTAGAGTTACCCGCCCTTGTGTACCACAGTTCGGCGATATATTAATCATTTGAGGACGAGGTTTGTTCAGTTTTGTAATATAATAATTATGTCAAAATAATTAAGGGACTGGGTGTTTAATGGAAGTCTTCAGTTTGAAACAAGTGACGTCTGTCTGGGAAAGCTGTTGTCTGATTGATATATGTCAACTTTTTGTAGGTCATTTCATTGGCCAGTCAAAGCTCGAAAGGCCGTTCTGACGTGACCTCTCGTGGGATATCGCGAGACTCTTGTTTAGCGATAGCGAGAACTAAGATCTGAATTTGATGAGATTGCTGCCACTAATAGGGCATACTGCTTGTTGAATACCTAGGGCGATGTATATTTCATACACGTAGCACACCTCATATAATTGAGGAGGGGTTGCCTGTCTGTTGTCTCCAATACTGGGCATGGTGCTGGTCTACGCAGCGACATTACTTTTCAGTAAAGCACAATCAAGTAAATCATTTATAACGTTGTCATGACGTGCACGTGACAGTTGGTTCTCAAGCACTGTCTGCACCGAAAAGTCATCCGATTGTAGTCGCTTTGTTTGTTCTAGTGAACGGTTCCTGGCGTATTTTGCTAAAAACAATTTCAGTTCTTGTTTGTTCAAGTGAACGGTGCCTCGCATATTTTGTTCAAAATGTTGTTCGCTTTCTTTTGAATGTCAGTATATTTTGTTTCGAATCTGAAAAGTGGACAACCTGTCTTTCATAGAAACAATTAACAAGAAATACCATCGCTGCGTGTATGTGCCCTACTGTCCGATGTTAAATGAGAACAGCCGAGGTCCCTCCTCCCGAGGAACGGGTTCTTAGTGGGAACATTGACTTATCATTCCTTAGGGTGTGAAATCACGTGGTGGTTATGAACAAAACTGGGTATAGATCTGGTGAGTGTGCTGTGAATAATCAAATGAATTTATTAGTTATCTATCTACACTTGTTTATTTTGTCACAATCAAAATATGCAACAAGTGCATTCTCGACTGGTGTGACTTGTAGCTGTTGATATGCCGCGTTGGAATGGAATCGTTCATGAATATTGATATCATCCACTCGACCAGCTCCATCGGGCTGCTGTGTAGGTTGTACGGCAGGGAGCGGTATAACGAGGGATATGTAACCGACTGGAGATTTAAGCACCAGGTGCCACGGGTGATGGCATCCATAGATATGATGGAGAATTCCTGCAATTCATCCTACCGGTATAGTAGATCAGCTTCTGCTATTTGCTATAAGCATTAAAATTGGGTATGGTCACGACAAATTGCTTATTTATCGAATGTCAATTACAGTTCTGTTAGTACGAAAAATGTCGTTTAGGGAGGTTATTCTAAAATTAGGGTTGGATTGTTCAGTACTCAAAATCTACTATAAATGTACCATGCTATGTAAAGCAAATATGATCAGTTATCTCTTAATCATATTTTTCTAAGCAGTCGTCATTTAAAATATGATAATAATGAAAACACCGCAGGCTAATCGTTGTTAGTAAAAAGGAGAAATTGGTTATGGCCTACCCAAGAAAATGAATTTAGCGGACAGGTGAAGGAACACTGACCAAACATTGAAGCCATTTAGTATATTGTTTTTATAATGATGCATAGTTATATTTATGATATTTAATTTTGTAGACTTGTTATGTTTAAACAATACTGATCTGTCCAGATTGTGTTGAATGTTTGAAAGTGTAGGATTCAGATCTCTTCGAGAACGTCCTGGTCCGAATGCTTCCATTCATCCCTGGCTCTGCCACTATGATTGGACGAGGGTGATTTATGTGTTTGACTAAGTGTTCATTGCTTGTGATTGTATTCGATAAAGGTTGTACACCCCGTAGAAAATACATCCAATTTAAATCTGTCAAACCAAGTCAACTCTTATCATATGCACAAATCTGTAACCGACTTGCATGAGTTGTTCAGAATATGAGCTGAACATTATTTACAAGTTCCGATATTCATGGGTTGATTCGTGCAAAGATATACTTCTTTGAGGCACGTTGCGTACGTCATTAAGCAACTTCAGGCAGTTTGTCAAGTGTTTTCAGGTACACCACAAGAGCATGAACAATACGATAACTCTTATCGCTACACAATGAAGTACAGCCTTGAACACACAAGCAACCACTGGAGTGAGACGAAGTGACTGTAGTGTGCTGTCTGTCTCAGAAGCTGGGCTTCAGTTTATTTCCTATATTTGAAGCAGCCTTAGCCTTTATAATTACGTTGCCCATTCAGCTACTGGGCCTTGGTTCTTGGTCTTTTCAGTTACACATCTTCACTTCATGTAACCCTTTAACCATGGCAATAGAGAGAACAAGATGAGATATGACCTACCTGTGACCTTCCGCGGTGATGATATAACCCATCAGCCCTGGTGGTATGACCTAGCTAGGTAGTGGTATGACCTACCTGGGTGTGATGGTATGACCTACCTGGGTTTGTGGTAACAGGTATGAACTACTGGATGTGGCGGTATGTCATCCCTGTGTTTGTGGTATTACCTATCCGGTGTGGTGGTATGGCATAGTTGGGTTTGTGGTAAGACATATCTGGTGTGGTGGTATGACATACATTGGTGGGAGCATGACCTACACGTAGTGTGACCCACCTACCTGGTTGTATGTCATACCTAGGATGTTGGTATGACCGACGTAGGTAGTGGTTTGACCTCCCAGGGGGTGGCGGTATTACCTTTCTGGCCGAGTATGAGGATGGGACCTACCTTTGGTTGGAATATGACCTCCCTAGCTGCCGGTCTAACCAACACTAGGGTAGAAGTATGACCTCCCTAATATAAGTGGTTGTATGGCCTGAACAGGTGGGTGGTTCGTATGAGCTCATGGTGCTAGAGTGACCCACCCAGGTGGTTTTATGGTAACGCGGGAGTCATACTTAGATGGCATTCCAACGTACTAGATTGTTCCACAGTACACAGTCGGCTGCACATATCAAACTGTTGCACAGTTGAAATAAACATTATTTAACTACCGGTGTTCTGTTTACCTCCATTGACGGTGTGGCAGTATTGCTGACCTTCACTCTGAACAGATGAATCTGTCACACCATTTTTCTATCAAATTTAACATCCTAGAATCAGTAATATTGAAATGATTTATGGCAGCCAGGTATTGAAGCGTAAGTTCAGTCAGATGCATAATCATGGCACGGCTACTGCACGATGTATTGGCGCAAATAGGTAACTGCTTCCTATAACGGTGTCGGTGTTATGTGACTCAAGTCCGACACGACTTAACAGAGGAGTGATGTGACATCTCAATGAACAAGGTGAGTATCAGATGTGACCAGGCGTTGGGTTCAACTGAGTTAACATTACCGGTTCGTTCTGGGTCTGTTGGCGTCCATCCATCTCATCCCAGACATGTTCTATCGGGTAGAGGTCTTGGCAGTCCATGGCAGTATATTATATGAAGCTACATCATAAAGTCATTACAGCGTTCTGGCGGGACACTTTGCTGCTGCTGCACGACCTTACGTCACTGTATTTACTGTGTAGAACATGATCTCGAGGAGCGACGTCCCTGTATTAACAGTGTAGAACATGATCTCGAGGAGCGACGTCCCTGTATTAACAGTGTAGAACATGATCTCATGGAGCAACGTCCCTGTATTTACAGTGTGGAACATGATCTCATCGAGCGACGTCCCTGTATTTACAGTGTAGAACATGATCTTGAGGAGCGACGTCCCTGTGTTTACAGTGTAGAACATGATCTCGAGGAGAGACGTCCCTGTATTTACAGTGTGGAACATGATCTCATGGAGCGACGTCCCTGTATTTACAGTGTAGAACATGATCTCGCGGAGCGACGTACCTGTATTTACAGTGTAGAACATGATCTCGAGGAGCGACGTCCCTGTGTTTACAGTGTAGAACATGATCTCGAGGAGCGATGTCTCTGTATTAACAGTGTAGAACATGATCTCGAGGAGCGACGTCCCTGCATTTACAGTGTAGAACATGATCTCGAGGAGCGACGTCCCTACATTTACAGTGTAGAACATGATCTCGAGCAACGTCCATGTATTTACAGTGTAGTACATGATCTCATGGAGCAACGTCCCTGCATTTACAGTATAGAACATGATCTCGAGGAGCGACGTCTCTGTATTTACAGTGTAGCACACAAAGTCAGCCGCCTAACCTGCTCAGCCACCGCGACTTCCACGCAGTATTTTACTAAGAGTGAGTGAGTGAGTTGGGTTTTACGCCGCTTTAAGCAATATTCCAGCAATAACACGGCGGGGGACACCAGAAATGGGCTTCACATATTGTACCCATGTGTGGAATCGAACCCGGGTCTTCGGCGTGACGAGCGAACGCTTTAACGACTAGGCTATCCCACCGCCCCTACTTTACTAAGAAAGGGCTATCCCAAATATAACATATGTAACACATTGTGTTGTCTAGACTTGCCTCTTTAAGGACACATTTACTATACATCCATGGGTTTAGCATTCAGTAGCCTTGTAGCAAGTCTAGGAAACTCAATCACAGCGTTGGACACATTCAAACGAAACATGTTTCACATCCGTCATTCAAACGTAATCCAGCTTTATCGGGACAAACGGAGGCTCCCACCATATGCATAGCTATTTCTGTTTGAAGTGGTGATCCAGGCAACGAGACAACAGAACCCGGGGTCGTGTTCCCAGTCTTGTCAATCTCCAGGTGACAAAGTTCTATAGCTGCGGTGCGAAGTGTCAGGCCTGGTTAAGTGACACTTTGAGTTCATAGTGATAAAGTAGTTGTTTAATGGATCACTTGAAATACGTTTTATAATACATCTGGAACGTCATGAGGATTATTTAAGCCGTGCACCACTCGAATGATTTCATGTCTTTGCGTTTTCATTATATACTAGGCACATAAAGAAACTGTACATACAAAAATCTAAAATCTAAATTTATCAAACCTGTGTAGACACATAAGGATTTAAACTCAGAGATTAGTGACATGTATACAACATGCATGCACGTGCCACGGTCCGTGACGTCAGTGGGTTCGTCCTTGAGACGTGCAATACGTTGTTGCACGTGCATTCCGGGAAAGAGAAACAGAGCAAATGAATGCCACACAATACTGTCACTTTGGAAAGCTCAACCCCTGTCCTTGCGATCGTTCAAAAAATTAAACGGCTATTGAAACGCATAGCATGCCAAGGCTCACGTCTGCACAACGTCATGAGGCCATTGGGATGGTCCGTGGGGGAATGTCTCAACGACAAGTGGCTGCACATTTCCATTGCCACCGGAACTCCATTTCTGCACAGGTGAGACGCTACCAGAACACAAATGACGTCTTCGATCGGCCACATTCTGGACGTCCACGTGTCCACAACGCCAAGACAGGACATATGGATAAGGGTGACCCATCTTCGCCACACGTTTCAGACTGCAGTGATGACTGCCCGAACCATCCCAGGACTTCGCCGTATCCACTATCCACCCCAACACAGTTCGACAACGTTTAGGTCATCACGGGATCAGACCACGACGTCCCGTCATACGGCCTATCCTGACACAACGTCATCGACAAGCTCGCCGAATGTGGTGCCGAAATCATGTCCGCAGACCCTTGTTTTGGTGGAGAAGGTCCAAATTTAACATTTCCCATAGTGATGGACGTCAACGTGGCTATAGACGCGTGGGAGAACGTTATGCATAGGCCTGTGTCTTGGAGAGGAATCGCTTTGGTGGTGGTTCGGTGATGATTTGGGGTGGAATAACAGCACGCCAAAGAACTCCTTTGGTGATTGTTCAGGGCAACTTAACTGGTGTGGGCTACAGGGATCAGATTCTTCGACCTGTGGCAATTCCTTTTCTGCAACGTCATGGCCCTGGGTTAACATTCCAACAGGACAATGCCCGCCCTCATACGGCAAGGGTTTCTATGGATTTCTTGCAACATCACAACGTTGATTTACTGCCTTGGCCTGCAAATTCACCGGATCTCTCCCCGATAGAGCATGTTTGGGACGAGATGATCGCCGTCTACGCCGTCTTCCTCATCCGCCAGATAACGTTCTTGACCTTGCAACAGAACTTGAGAGAATCAGGCGTGACATCCCACAAGCCTTCCTTGCACGTTTGATAGGCTCTATGCGTCGTCGATGCACTGTTGTTCTCAATGCCGATGGTGGACATACCCGTTATTGAGCTTGTGACATGGTCGTTTGACCCCTGTCGTGACGTCATTGTGATTGACTTTTCAATTGAAATTCTCTCGACTTGTTATGGTCTCATGATCCCTCCATTAAAGTTTATATGTACCTTTGACATTGTTATTGTACTTATCAACTGGGATAATATTTTGACAATGCACAGTTTCTTTATGTGGCTAGTATATAAACAACATCGCAATTATATTTGAGCATGTATGTCTTTCTATGAGTAAATTAAAACGATTCCTGTAGTTTTCGTACACTGTACCTTTTTGTATTTAATTTGTGTTTCCCCTTTACTGTCAGTCTTCCTTTAAGACTGTTTCTAAATATTCTTGGCGAGGGTTTTTAAAAGTTGATTTCAGTCAAGAACGGTAACTCGTATCCTACTGGTGTCCTGCGGTGGGTAGATGAACATGACCATGAAGCAATCTTCACAGATTCCATGGTAGCAATTAAAGCTATAGAACTTTATTTATTTCTTGATAGTGTTGTTGTTTCATGTACATACAATTACGGTTAATATGTCTAGACATTGTGTGGGTGTACACATTGGAACGGTCTGTGGATATACGTTATTACAGTAACGTTTTGAAGCTCTGGACTAGGCAGTGTGTAAATACCTGAAATATGGGAATTGTTTTAGACGAATAATAACGCCATGTTTAAGTGAGGTACGCGGTACGTGGTACATTCAAACACTGTTACCTATGACCGAACAAAATGCAGCGGTTACCGGGCTTATGGTAAGTTACCAATCATATATGGCAAAATGTGAAACAGTAGTTCGGGAACAGAGAAGCAACGCCCAAACACATCATGGCGAGAGCGTGGCGCCAGGAGGGCCGGCGTTGAAACGCGACATTAACTGGTTCGTACAACTCGTCATGGCGTTACAGGGATTGTAGATAAGGGGGACAGGGTCATACACACACTGTTTGATTAGTATGAACTATTTCTAAGTGGGTGCACTTATATATCATGTCCTGATTCCTGGTTCAGTGCATATCACCAAGTTCTTAAATTAATTTAAATTCAAATATAACGTTACTTGTGCAAATATGTCACATCAGACGCCAACTGTTCTCGCGGTGACGTGCCGGGATGGCTAAAAATGATTTTCTGTCAAAGAACAGATATCACAAGCTTGATCTCTTAGGGCCCAGTGTATTAATGATTCATCATCCACGCCCGCCTCCCTACAAAACATCCCGATTTACATCAATACATTCCCGTCACGAATCATATCAATTATGATGATGGTTATTATGATGCTCAATTCTGGAAACTGACTCCCTCACACGAAGAATCAGGCCAGACACGAGATGCCACCACCCTCGCTCTTCCCGCAGCTACAGCCATTTGTCTGAAGATACTCTTGTGAAGAGTGGCAGAACTCAAGACGATAGGAAGGGATTACACTGTTATCTAAATACAACCAAGGATGTTAGATACATTCTCAGTGTCTCTGTTGATATTCTTGATGGGTGGGTACTGCTCATCCTCGATAATCTCCAGGGTATACGTTACGATCACTCTCCGTAACATATACCCTGGAGATTATCGAGGATGGGTACTGCTGGGCGGTACAGAAATGAGAGTCAACCAAATGAGGGGAGAAGCTTTGCAATATCACTTTATCCTACCGGGTACCCATTCACTGCAGGGTGCACATATTTTCGAAGAAAATCCTTTGTTTGGCAGAACAAATGTCCTATAAACTCCTGGATGTCAAGTTGACTGAAGACGATCATTACTCCACCTATTCTTCGTAGGGGCAACGGGGTAGCCAAGTGGTTAAAGCG